TGCCCGGCCCGCCAACTTAACCCCTCGACACTAATTATCTAATTAATTTGCGGAGCAAGTGGCAGAAAAATATCAGTTGGAGTTAATCGACTTACAATGCGTCGATTTCTTTTTTTTAAATCAAAATATTATTCCGAATTCACTGCTGACTTCTACAATATGTTTTGCCCAACGTAAAATATAAAACCCTTTTGAATAATACGAAAATGCGATTTACTTATCTTTATTTGGAAGTACATATGTTTCAAGACACTGTATAGCTTTCTGGCCTGTGCTCTCCAAAAGATTGCCGACCGAATATGAAAAGGACAAAGATTAGATTAGAATCTAATCCAATATTGTCCCTTCTATATTTATCCTAGATATGGTTTCTAAATTCAATGCCACACGCGTTCTTTGCTTTTTCCTAGCTCAGACTTTCAAACTCTTTCTCTCCTCTATAATTTGTAAAATTTCAAGTGATCAAGGATTTTTTTGAGTCTGTCTATATTTCTGAGATGAGGTATTATGTACATTATTTACATTATTCGGACAATTGTCCTCATCTTTGACGCCATATTTATTACGTTTCGGCCTTCTTCAGGTCGTTGGAATGTCGAACTGAACCATTTATTTCGCTCACTGTTCTAGTGCTATGTTTAATGGATGTCAGTTATCAGTTATCTCCTGTTAATTTCCCTCTGAAAGTTCTCCACCGGGTATTGAACTCACACTCTTTGGGTCCTGTCACTGGATCTAACCAACCTTTATCCACTATGCCATGTATCCTTGAGGACATCTGGGTATGAATTTCTGAGTATTATAAACCTAATGTCTTCAGCAACCATTTTTACCAGTGCTCATATTGCAATTTTGCTGTTATCAATTTATGTTTTTACCAGAGCTCATATTGCAACTTTGTTGTTATCATTGCTTTTCTCTGGCCCTCCTTATTACTGGTTCCCATATTGTATTTATTTCTATGCTTGGTCGGCTCAGGAGAATTTTATGGCCTAGCATATGTGCTGATTCCTTAAGTTTACGAATTTTCCAATGGTGTTCCTTGTCTATGATCTCAAAGTGTCAGTTCAATACCCGGTTAACGCAGCGGAGAACTTTCAGAGGGATAATTAACAGGAGGTAACTGGTAACTGACATCCATCAAACATGGCACGTGGAATTAGAACAGTCTACCCCAGTGAGTGAAATAAAGGGTTCAGTTCGACATTCCAACCACCTGAAGAAGGCCGGAGCGTACAACGGCCGAAACGTTGTAATAAATATGGCGACAGAGATGAGGACAATAGTCCGAATAATGTAAATAATGTACATAATACCTCATCTCAGAAATATAGACAGATACTGAAAGGTCGAAACGTTTTAATAAATATGGCGACAAAGATGAGGACAATAGTCCAAATAATGTAAATAAGGATTTTTTTTTAAATTTATTTTTTGAAAAATCACTTTTCCGATTTGTACATGATGCTAACAATTTACGCATAGCGACACTTTCAAAGTATTTGTTGTTTTTCTTAATTTTTTCACCTTTTCTTTCTGCTCTCTGCCACTGAAACTGTATAAACTGTTAAAGTATTTTATTTTGTCAGCTGAACAAGAAAATTGAAATACGTTGAACTGGCTAATTCGATTTGGTTTGTAGAGTTCGAGACAATTTTTTTTCATTGCACTAATTAAAACACCCGTACCACTGGGTTGAAACAAAAACTCTGAACATGACATTCTGATTTCAGAAACTGCTTTCTCGATTATCAGAAGCATTTTATATTCTGTTTTTTTTACTAATAATACAAGTAGTTATATTAGTTTCCCTGTGGCTTTTCAGGAGACTGGTTTTTGTCTAAATTTATGAGC